TTATTTATTTATTTATTTATTTATTTATTTATTTATTTTTATTTTGCTAAACCCATGACCTTTTATTTAAAATTTAACGAATTTTTAGCATTTTTAAAACATGAAGCATAATTTTAAATATATTAAAACTGACGATTTTTGTATTTCCCATTCGAACGGTGAATCATCCTTATATTTAATGGTTTTGAATATTGTACACAAATATTGATAATCCGGCATGGTAGTAGCATTTAATGATGCTATGTGCTGCAATCAGTACAAAAAATTATGATCTCTTTCTATTACTTTTAAATTTCAAAATGTTTTAAATATTTCGACCTTAGCAGAAGTCTGAAATTATTGTACAAATTTAAATAACAAATAAAGTATTAATGTTTCACTGCGAATATTTCCTCGAAAAATTCTTATCAACAAATTGCTTCTTTTCTTTTAAATGCTGTAAAACTTTTTTCCTGATGAAACAGTACCAATAACATAGCAATTAGAATTTTTTTTCTTTTTTAAAACAAACAAAAATTAGAAAAATAAGCAAAACGAAGCATTTTTTGCTTTTCTTTTCAACAATTATGAATTTTAACTTTAGCAAATTCCAACGATGCATTCGGTTGGTCTTTGCATAAACTTTCGAAGGTTTCCTTCCTTTTTGCTTCTTCGATATCTTTTGCTGCAATTAGATTGCTCCACGGTAGCTTCCCGTAAATTAGTTCAATCTGTCAATTAAATATTACAGTAATTTTGTTATTACTATCCCACTTAATTTACAATAATCAAGTTAAATTTTTTTAATTCAGTGTTCGTGTAAAATCGGAAAGATTGTACAACAATGAAGAAAATATCAAAGATCACAGGTCAAAGATGAGATATGAATTCAAACGAGAAAAAACGATTAATATGCAAACTTTAATAATCCTAAGTTCTTTTTCCTAAAATAAAGAATGATTACGCAGATACCATTGAATAAAACCATGCAATTAGATCGTCACGTGGACCGGTTTCAGCACGTGCATGTACTGTCAATGACACATAACGTGGCGTACCACGAAAACCTGCGTAATGACGAGGTTTTCGAATTCTGCCATCTATTTCAGTAAACATTCGTGCCATACCTTTATGGATATCATTAATTTGTGACATCATTATATCCAAACTTACACAAAAATTCTCAGCAAAAAAAATGAAATTTAAATGAGTTTAAAATGTTTTTAATGGAATTTACCGAGATCAAGAAGATAAATTACACGCCTTTGTGCACCTCGACCAATACAAATATTTGATGGTTTAATGTTACGATGTAAAAAGCCTGCAGTATGCAAGTCATGCAGTGCACTTATCACCTGTAAACAATATCTCATTCAAAATAGTGTTGATACAATGCAAAAAATTATTTTATTTTACTTTTATTCTTACTTGTACTGATATTCGATAAGCGGTTATTGGCTGTAATCGTTTAGGAGGATATTGTTTACGTATATCAGCCAAGTTACGGCCAACAAGATCCATTATAAGATATGGCACATCATGAATTTGTCCCATACCAATCAATGTCACAAAATGATTCTAAATTAATTTAGTACCATGAAGGTTTAATTTATGATATCAATTATTAAATTTAATAATTCTTGAAATGCACTGAATAAAAACGTAACATACACGTTATGTAATGTAAAATATTTTAAAATATGAGCGTAATCATGTAATAATTACAGAGAAAAAAATTGTAAGGAATAAAATATTATGATTGATTTAAAATTTAGCAAAAGATTAGATAATATAATCTGCTAATTAAAAGGAAATAATTCTCTTACTCAGTTACTTAATTCAAAATTATTAAAAAGCAAATGTGTACCTTTCCGCGCAGTAAAGTTAAAACCATTTGTTCAATTTTCATTCGTCTTGGATCTAATTTAGGTGTTGCAATTTTCACAACTACAGGCCGAGATTTAACATTGTCGCAAGCTCTGGAAAGAACTTAAGGCCTGATTACTGTACTGCTTGTCAATTTTATGCGCAAATATAACTTAATTACAATTAATTATTTGTCTAGCTGTTGCTTTTTTTACATAATAAATACATACTATACTCATTTTGATGAAAACTTTTTCACTAATTTATTCACATTTAATTCTTTCTTTATGATATATGTAATGTGTAAAAATGACATGATTTTTAATTTGAAATCAATTTAAATTAATCACAATAAGTCATTCTACTTGCATTATTATTAATGCTAATTAATAATTCATACTAAAATACATCAAAATTCAAAAATTGATTTCTACTAAAGTTTGGTCGAAAGATCATCTTAGTTGTAATATACTAATTAATTAATTACAATGCTTAGGTAATATTTGACGAATAACTACTACAGATCTAAATAATTTAATTAACTACTAAGCATAATTTATGCACGAAAATAATTGTAAACGTATACCGATAGATTTGATTGTAATCACTACGGCCCAGCTTTTTTTCGATTGTATACCTATTGCGAAGTATTTCACCAATTTTCAATATTCCAGTAATTTTCTTTTTCGATGCTTTCTCATCATCTAAATGATGTAAATTTCAAATTACTAGTTACATTTATTTGTTTAATTAATATTCAAGCTTAAAACAGTAAAAAATTTTAATTTCGAGGAAAAAATTTAGGACTAATAAAAGAATTTTGAAGAAAAATTTTTAAATTCCATAAAATAATTTCAAATTTATTTAATCGTTTCCTTTCTTCTCTCCGAAAAGCAATTTTTCGAATGCTTATTTGATATAAAATCCAATAAAAATTATTCAAAATATTAACTTTTTTCTAGTTGCACTGACAAAAAAAGCGATTATTTTTCGACGGTAAAAATATAATCGCATATTTTTGTTAAATTTAGGATGCAAATGTTTGATTTATTTAATTAAATTATTTTAAAAAGAGTAGATTGTTTCTTCTGCACTATTTATAGAATAGTTTTTATTACAATAAAATTTGCAGTGTAAAGTTTTTTTCAAATTCAAAAACTTCAACCAATTTAAAATTCTCACCTGGAATTTTGATTTCAACTTGGTTTTTTACGGAAATTTTCGTATGGATTGACATTGTGGAAGATTTCTTTAAAATTGATTCATGTGAAGAAAATATACTTTGAAAGTTTTAATTGTCGCAGAAATTTTTAATAGAATATCCGGGAGATTTAATAATGACTGAGATTTCATGAATGGAAACAATTTAGAAACTTTTGTTAAATATGGAGGATTTTTTTGAATGTTAAATGATATAACAAATTCGCTTGCAAATTTTTTTTCAAGGAACTGTTAGCTAACTTTCCTGAATTTATGGTAGAAAAGAAATGGAACTTTAACTTTGCTAAAATGACATAATATTTCTCTGATTTTTTCATATATTAGAGATTTACAAAGCACAATGAGTATGAGCATTAAATTAGTATTCCGTCGGATTCATACCAGCAATTTTGCTGGAAATAACCGTTTTCTTCTGTCATAATTCTTCCGTTAGCGTAACCGTAATTACATCATTGATGAAATGATAAGATGAAAAAAAGAACTAACTGGTCGATTCAATCACAAACAATTTAAATGACAATTTCATTCAAAATCATATATTTTGAATGTATTTAAAATGTAAATTATCCGTTACAAATATTTGCTATGAGATGAATTATTCAGTTACTGTATTTAGTAACAGTTAAAAATTGAAATTTGTTTATAAATTTAATGTGTAATTACAACCAGTAATGAAATAACTTAAAAAGAAATACCGTTCATACTCATTTCTTTTGTTTTTTTGCATATCATTAGAAGATAGCACAGTATTAGCATAAGAATTATTTCTTAAAAAAAAGAAAGATATTAATAATTCACTTGAGAATGATATTATTCACAGAATGATATTATTTTCTTAGCAATTCAAATCAATTTTTTGAAATTGCATACTAATTATTGAGCTAAATTTTCTTCTACGAGAAAATCCTCCTAGCAATCGAATAAAATAAAATGTTATCCAGTGTATACCGGGAATTTCCCGTTGATTATTTATCATCATATTAGTATTAAACAGTATTTCTAACCATTTATCTATTTAATTCGTAATCTTATAGTTTATTTAGCATTTTTTTCTTTGTATGTGAAATTTGAAAGAAAATAAATCAAATCTTATCCATTCTGAATGTGCCGGTATCACCCGGTCCTTTTAAATGAACTGTTTGTTGACAACAATAGCATGATTCCTAACTTTTAATTGCTAATTAAATTTTTAAAAAAGGAAGAGAGAGAAAGAGAGAGAGAGAAAGGGTGAGATTTATAGATTTCATTCTCGACGGTTCATATATTTCACTGATTTCAATATCGTACTTACTTTCTCAACCACGTAAGTTAAAATTATTAGCATAGTTAACGTGAAAAATTGTAACTTTTAAATTTCATTTATTACAATTGATTTGAAATCAACAACTTTCATTCATATTGAAGAAACACTTTAATGATGATATAATAATGCATACATTATTAAGATGAAATTCTTTCATTGATTAAAACGATTCGTTTTTTTTTTTTGTTCACTTTTTTATTTAGACCAATTCTTTAATTTCAAAAAATTTAAAATATTTTTTAAATATGCAAATTTATTCTGCATTTTTCCACACAAAATTTTAGCTATAAAAAATGTTATTGTCACATTCGACGTCTATTTTTTGCTATTTCATTTACTTTGTCATACGTTTTTTGTTAAATTGCTTGCTGCACTATTCCTGCAATATTTTAACGAATTGTTTTGTCGCAGCTTCAAATTACAATCGTAAAGAGAAGGAACGGATGAAAATTTAAAAAATAAAACTATTTTTTACAGAATTTATTAAAGAGATATTTTCAAAGAACGAGCCAATTAGAGTTTAATGAATCGTGGAATTTAAGGAGTCAAATAAATACGAACAGTATAAAATGCAATAAATGAGAATTAGGATTTGAAATTGGAAATTAAATTTATTTGATTTAGTGCTGAAAAATTTCTTTTTCTCTTTGTATTTCAAATTAATCTATAAGACAATGATAAAGTGATTTCGAGTTCGCATATTGTTGGGAAAAATATAACTGTAGAATACTGTATTCATGAGTTTACAGTTTTACCGGATAAAGAAGTTTTTTAAGTCGGACTGAAATCCGAAAAGCTCGGATGATAAAATTCATTACAGGTATTCCCTCATTCTTTCAGGATAATGATGAAAACTGAAGAAAGCGAAGGAGAAGATGAAATCAAAGAGGACAACAAAAAAACGATAAAAAAAGATCACGAAGAGAAAACGATAAAGAGATATGACAAAAAGAGTAGAACGAAAAAAAACGGGAAAGAAAAGAAAGCTAGACAAAGTAAGGAAGAGTGGAATTTGAAGAGAAATGAAAGTGACGAAAAAAAGAGAGATAAGAAAATGAAAAATGATGTCGGAAATAAAATATGGTTCGAGGATAAAAAGGATAATGAAATAAAAAAAGGTGAGAGAAATGAGCAAATGGAAAAGGATGCGAAAGATGATGAAATACAGGATATCAGAGGAGATAAAGGCGCAGAGAGAGACAGAAAGGAAGAGAAAAATCAAATAACTGAGAGAGTGAGAGGAGATGAGAAAATAAGAATGGCTGAAAGAGAGAAATCATTGAAGGAAAATGAAACTACAAAAGACAGTACAAACAGGGATAAGGCAAACGACAACATTATTGAAAGTTTAACTCCCGAAATGGCCAATGAAATGAAAATACGAGGGGTCATTTTCTACGAAAACCTCGGTGACCTCTTTCTCCCTTCCACTTCCACCAATGACTTTTGCACTTTCACGTTTTTTCTTTTTTTTCTTGCATTCAAGAATTTGTAAAAACCACTTCAGCAAAGTGAAAAAAAAAATGTGAGAAGGAGAAGGAGGAGCAGAATGAGTAAGGGGATGGATTTCAATTTCACAACGAAATTTACCGGTCACCTTAACCATTTTCTCATTTTCTAGTTCATAACCGGTTAGGTTAGAGAGTTGGCGACGATTGCATTGCTTATTTATAACATTATTGAAAGATATAAAAAAAATCGAGATTCTTTTCTTCGATTTTTAAAAAAAATCGAGAATCGAGATTCTTCAAAAATTTTCCTGTGAATTTTCTCTTAAATTTCGATCTATTTGGGTAAATTTGTCGCAGACAAGGATTACTTCAAATTCATTCCATTTCCTTTCAATTCGTTCCAAATTATTTCTTTAGGCAAAGGAACATTTTCCATTGTGAAGAAAGGTTGGTGCAACGTATTGGCCAAAATGATTGCTATAAAAATAATCGATACAAGGTTGTAGTCAAATATGAATTTATCATTAATTCATCATTTGTGATTAATTTATCATTAACCGGATATTGATGATTAATTTATTATTCCCGAATATTCATAATTAATTTATCGCTAATAAGATATTATTAATCATTAATTTGTCAGGAGAGAGCAATTTGCTTCCAATTCTCCATCACCATCTCATTCTCGAATTTTCGCTTCACTTATCAAATCACTCCAAATAAATATCATCAACTGAATTTTTCAATGTTCCATTGGATTGAAACTACTAGTGATAAATATGTCGTTTTCATTTTCCCTTATAAATTATCACTGACAAATAAAAATGCGTTTTTAGGAAGGATTTAAAATATACGAAGAAATGCTTGCCACGTGAGATTGAACTTATCCGAAAGTTGCAACATGACAATATTATTAAAGTTTATGAAGTAATTTTTTGAATTTAAGAAGAAAAAAAAGGAAAAAGTTTTATTTGTGGATAACTTTTGTGCCTAAGATTGAAAAATGCTTCACTTATCAATATTATCACATTGAAATTAATTCTTTACAGCTGAAATAAATTACTTTTAAAATATATTTTCATTTCATCTTTTTTGTAACTTTATGGGTCTAACTTTGAAATTTTAATTTTTAAAAATTTTTTGTCATACTTTTAGGTAATTGAAAAAAGTCCGTATGTTTGTGTTATACAAGATTTTACGAGTAGAGGTGATTTGTTGCGAAAAATAAGACGTCAAAGTAAGGTTAATGAAAAGGATGGAAAAATGCATTTTCGGCAACTTATTGAAGCAATGAAGGTATCAAAGCTAATCAACCTATTTCTTTCAATGTCAGTGCTAATTAAGCTCAATTAGTATCTTAAAAATGTTCCCTTTAAAATTTCAGAATTTGAAAAATAAAAAAAAATTTTATTTAATAGTATTTAAAATCGATGGAAGTTGTACATCGCGATATTAAATGCGAGAATATATTACTCGACTCATGCGAAAATGTTAAAATTACCGATTTTGGTTTTGCACGATCGTTAAAAATTGGCGAAAAATCAAAAACATTTTGTGGTTCTCGAGCATACTTAGCTCCAGAAATTATTAGGTTTGATTAATTTACAAGCGATCTTCAACTTCTATTTTTGAAATAATGACCTATCCGAAGCTGTATGCTTTTGAAGCCACAATTCAACTAAATCATCTATTTTTAAACCAATAATTCAGTCATATTTTGGCCATATATTTTTCAGACAAAAAGTTAGTTCTATCTAAGGCCGCATATTTTCTCATATGAAATTAATTTTGAAACTAATATTGCTTTTTTTGAGAATTCTCTATGAAAATTAAGAGATTTTCATAGATTTGAAATGGACAGGAAACATTTCTTGATTCATTAACATAAGAATTCCTAAACTTTTGATAACATGGAACAGAATTATTCCATTATTAAATTTTCAACATGATAGAAATGTATTAAGTAATAAAAAGTTTAAAAATTCCCGCAGAGCACAACCATATGATGGATATCGATCGGATATGTGGAGTGCGGGGATTGTACTGTATGTGATGATAACGGGAATGATGCCTTATGATGATAAGAATGTGCAAAAAATGTTGGAAAGACAATTGCAACATAGGTCATAAATTTTTACATCATTTCATCTACACATATATCATACTTCATATACTTTTAACTTCTTTTATTTATTTCTGATAATTTTTCCCATTCAGTTTTAATTTATTCGATTGTGTTTTTCGTTAAAATGCTAAAAGTATCGTATAAAACATTATAAAATGTTAAAAGATTAACCGTTAAAAAAGTTAAAAGTTAAAATGTGAAAATTCATTTGAAATATTTTCCAATAAAACCATTCAGAATAATATATCCACGAACAGCAAAGATAAGTATGGATGCGAAACGATTGATATTTGATATTCTTCATCCGATACCTCATAAAAGGTTAACAATCGAGGAAGTGATACGTTCCAAATGGTTGGCTGGTGTGGAATATCATATTTTAGATCAGCCTATTAACGATTCGTTAACATCGGATTCTGATAATATTATCTGAAACATTTTCTTCCCACTTTTTTAAAATTTCCTTTTAAATTTCAAATACATATATGTGAAATTTGTTATTATTTGTAATAAAAAAATTTGAAACCGGCATTATCATCTTTTGTGTAATATAATTATTTCTTTTTATTATTCAGATCTAAACATTATTTTAGAATTTTTTTAATTTAAAAACATAATAGATGAAAATGATGCGGTAAATGTATGCTTTAATTAATATTAATATATATTAATAAGAGGCATATCAATTGTTAAAGAAAAATTGATAATTTCAATTTTCTTTATTTCATTTCAGTACTTAAATATATCAAGGATGCTAAACATTTTCATTTCTTCCTTACACACCAATATTATTTACAGCTTTTATGATGCAAATTCAATCTTATCAGCACAATTAATTGTATTGTATTTTAAATTAAAAGTAAACATTAGCAAATGTTATTGATTGCTAGCAATAATATTTCATTCTAATTTAATTTATCCTTTAAAATTTTTTCAATAATCTCTCTCGAGAATATTTCACAAAAAAAAGATTTCTCGAGAACAACTCTTTCACTGAGATGAATTTGCATAATGGGATGATGTTAATTGCAAGTATAAATATTGTTTATTAAAAAAAGAAAAAAGAAAATCATTTTTTGATATAGTAAGAGTTAGTGATAAGCTGGCTTGATAAGATATTAGAGAATATATTAGCTATCCATGATTAGATCACTATTTCCATAATACTGATTAAAAGTGATAGTAATAACAATAACAGTAATATGTGAACTGATCTCATTAAACGTCATGATTAAAACGACGTCATGGGAAGTGCAACTGTGTTTGCATTAAATTTACAACCTATATTGATTGGGCGAAAAGAATTCATCGTTGAGATGTTAGTTTGATCTTTGGTCTTTGTTCTTTTCCACACTTTAATTGATGTTGGATTTTTGAATATATTTGCTTTATATTTTCAGTATTCTATAATACAATGCTTCGGTATAGTTTTGTCCCATTTACAGCAAATCAATGGACTAGGCTATTTCGTCAAGCTTCCACATTCAGGTATATGTTACATTTTATACACTACCGTTAATTAAATCATTATAGTTTAAAATTGCATTCTACAAAAGTGAAATTAATGTTAACATTTAAGTTATACTGCTAAAAATATGAACTGTAAAGCAACGATAGAGGTGTTGTATTTAATGCTTGACTATTGTATTCTTACAGTTTATAATATATTTATTTTTCAGTGGATCAGGCTTAACGTCTGAAAAATTCATGAAAAATCCACAAAATGAACCGGTTCTGGTATATCAAAAGGGTAGTACGGAAAGGATAGCTCTTGAGAAAGCGATGTCAGAGATAGCCGGTACAATTACAAATGTCCCGCTAGTGATCGGAAATGAGAAGATTTTAAAAAATCTTGATAAAAAACAAGTTATGGTGAGAAGCATATGTTTCAAAGAAAAAAAAAATCACATAAAATTTTACTACAGTTTCGAGAATTATTGTTTAGTATTTTGTAGTTTTTGTGTCATCGTGAAAATTAGCGTGATGGAACCCAAAAGATTCGAATACTGTCACTTAAAGAATTGGTAAACTTCACAGAAGGATCTATTCACTTTCGTGGAGATAGTGCAAGGTTATATCTGGAATGCCGTTGAGCTATCCTTCTCCGAAATATTAGCAAATATTTCGCACTAAATGATAGAGTAATACGATTGTTTTTACATAATTCTTTATACCGTTATTTTGCCATTTTCAATTAAAATGTGAAAGTGTTTCAGCCTTCAGATCATCAGAAAATTATTGCACGATTTGCACATGCAACTACAGAACAGATTAAAGAAGCAATTCGAGTTGGACTAAATGCCAAACAAAACTGGGAACGTAAATCGTTAAGGTTCTGCTTGCCTTCTTCTGTGTTTGTATACTTGGAATGGACTGAGTATATGAAATTTGTTTCATTTGATTATTAATTATGTTACAAATATTGTCGGATATAATTAGTTCCTCGGTGACTATTTTAATGTTTCTCAAGCTATTCTTCTTCTCTTCTTTCATTTCTTTTTTTTTTTTTGTTTTCTTTTTCATGCTTTTTATTTTAATTTGTAAAAATTCGAAATCAAAACAGGTCTTGTGTAAGGATATCTTTGATTGAATCTTGTCAGTCAGGTATAATCTGCTTCAACTAATGATTAAAACGTTCTGTGTGATGCCTTCCATTCCAGGAATATCATAGATCCTAATATATCTATTTTACAGAGAACGAGCAGATGTCTTCCTACATGCGGCTGATTTATGTGCTGGAAAATATCGTATGAAGCTCAATGCTGCTACAATGCTTGGGCAGGGAAAAAATATCGTACAAGCTGAAATTGATTCAGCCTGTGAATTGGTCGATTTCCTCAGATTTAATGCTATGTTTGCCTTGCAGTTGGAAAAATATCAGCCAATTTCACTGAAAAATGTCACAAATACAATGATTCTTAGGTAATCGATTTACATCGTTAAGCTGAAGTTCAAAATAAAACTTCAAATCGTTTTTAAATGAAATTGCGTTGTGTCCGAAAATTGATACGGAATTACAATATATGACTTCATTTTCAATTTACATTTCGCTGATTCTAGAATTATATTTCTCATTCATTTCGAAATGTTCTTAAAATGTTTGTAAATATGACTGTTGATACGAAATTTATTTACAGGAGTCTAGAAGGATTTATTGCTGCTATTGCTCCATTCAATTTCACAGCAATTGGTGGTAATTTGGCTACAGCACCAGCTATGATGGTATGTTAAACATAAACGTGCTGAAATGTGTTCATTTATCATAAGATTATATTATTTGTGTCACAGACTTATTACTAATCTAATCAAATGAACTAAGACATTATTTTAGGGTAATGCTGTGTTGTGGAAACCATCATGTACTGCTGTATTGAGTAATTATTTCATTTACGAAGCTTTAGAGGAAGCTGGTAAGCATTTTCGATTGTTGATTCTTCGTTCTTTGTAACTAGCACTGCGAAATCCACTACTTTCGAATTGGCTTATATTTACTAATCAGTGACATATTTGTGCTTTCTGTCAATTAGAAATGTATTACATTTTAGGTCTTCCGGCTGGAGTTATATCATTTCTGCCATCCGACGGTCCCATTTTTGGTGATATTATCACTTCTTCTCCCTATCTTTCTGCTATTAATTTCACCGGATCTATGCCAACATTCAAGTATTTGTGGAAGAAAGTTGCCGAAAATTTGGACACTTACGTTTCATTTCCAAGGCTAATTGGAGGTTTGTTTGCCTACTTATGGGGATCATGAGAGTAGTTTAACAATTGAAATTTGAAGTAATAACATTATCGAGCGTAGAAACGTTTAATATTTTTGTTTAATCTGTTTAGTTTTACTTCATATCAAGCTAGGACTAGTTTTCTTATAAAAACATTGTTATAAAAAAAAATCAAATAATCTTTTTGCGGAGGTATATAAAGATTGAAAATTTCACGGTGAATATTGCCGAAGTGTTATAAAAAAATTGGGAGCAACGCTTATTGGAAGAGAATGAAATTTATAGAATGCGGCGGTAAAAACTTTCATTTCATTCATCCATCGGCTGATTTGGACACTGTGGCACCATGTACAATTCGTTCTGCATACGAATATCAAGGACAAAAATGTAGTGCTTGTTCACGAATTTACGTACCTGAAAGTTTGTGGCCAACCTTACAAGCAAAGCTTGGAGCTATACAAAAAGAACTTAAAGTTGGAGATGTGAGTGTTCAGTTCATTATATATATATATACATACTTTCTTTAGTCTTTAACTTTTAAAATTCTTGCATTTGTAAAAATATTGCAGCTTGGAGTTTGCTTCATTTTTTTTCTAGGTAGTAATTCCCTTGCGTGCATTTATAATGACAGATGAAAACCAATGAGTATGAAACTGATAGAGGTTAGAATTATTTTTTGATCAACTTTGTTATAGGTACGTGATGGCTCAATTTTCATGACAGCGGTTATCAATGCAAAAGCTTTCAAATCTATTAGGTCATATATTGATTATGCTAAAACAGGTGCGGATGGAGCGAAGATCATTTTTGGTGGAACATATGATGACACTAAGGGGTATTTCATTCAACCAACTCTCGTACAAGTTGATAAATGGGACTCCAAATTACTTAGAGAGGTATTTTTAAGACTGATTTTTATGCACAGTGTGGTGATTATTGTCTTAGGAACTTGTTAGTGAGCCCTCTATGGAATTATCTGATCTGACTGATCAAGACTGAAATTTTAATCATGAAGTTTTATATTTGCAGTTCCCGTCATATGGTTATTTCAGTTCCTCGCGAGACTTAATAATTAAATGACTACTGTTCTGATTTTAACTTTCATGCAAGAAACAAATTCTTACATCATATAAAAATACCATACAGATTGTAAGCCTTAATTTTAGAACTTATTTTCATTTAAATTTCTCGGAAAAATTTTGCATTTAAAAGCGTAAAAATGAACATCATTTTAGGAAATTTTTGGACCTGTATTAACTGCATATGTGTATAAAGATAGTGAAGCATTAGAGATTGTAAAGAAAGTAAAAGACTCAACAGTTTTTGGTCTCACCGGAGCTGTATTTTCAGAGGACAGGTAATTAGATGCGATGATATTCTTATATTTTTGAATTTCTTGAAAATAATTTAAAATTTATCCACGTTTTGGTAACAAAGCAATCAATCAGACAGGTTGAAGTTGATGATGCAGTTAATGATCGGAAGGTAATACTCAATTTGATTTGTCTTTCTAGTTCCGTCGCGATTCTGCGATGGCAAAATAAAAAAACAAGGATCAAATAATTGAATATGGATGATAATGTCACTGTCATTATCTGTGGAGACTTTATATGCCTCGGTTTGAATTTGTAAAACTTAGTGATAATTATTATTTACTTTCAATATTTGAATTCTTTCAGGGAATTTCTCCACAAGTCTCGTGACATACTTCGAGATGCTGTCGGGAATATGTATTTGAATGATAAGTCCACCGGTTCTATAGTTGGGCAGCAACCTTTTGGTGGAGCACGAATGAGCGGTTTGCTTTTTTTTTATATTTGCTTCTGAAAAAAGAGTTGGTTTTTTTCCTCCTGGAATTAATCTTCTGTTTCACATTCAACGAGGCATTTATCTTTCAATTCTTTTATTTATTATCAGAAAAGTTCAGCTTGTGTTTTCATCTTATTATTTTTGCCTCACATGCATTAAATTTTTTCAGGAACGAACGATAAAGCTGGTGGGCCGCATTATGTTTTACGATGGGTATCTCCGCTTTGTATCAAAGAAACATCGATTCCTCAAACAGAATGGAAATATCCATCAATGGATTGAACGTGCCTGCAATCGTTCTGAAATAAACACAGTTCATTTTTTTTGTTGCTTTTCTTTAATTACCATTTGTGTTTCCTTTGTTATTGTTTTTTACTTTTACATTCTAGAAATCTTAATTCCTATACCCGGTTATGTCTTATATTTAGTTCAAAAATACATTTATATCTAAAAAATTTCTTGTTTGAAAATTGAGACTGCATTTGTTTCCCTTGTCAAACGGTGCTTTGCCTCGTTCATGTGATTCAGTTCGAATTTTATAGCTTTCCTTTTTGCATGTCTCCAAAATCTTTCTAAGTTTTTTATGTCTTAACATTAATCATGCCAACTATCTGAATCTTATTTAATTCAATACCTCAATCCATTGAATAAGTTATTAATTTTGATACGCCATTATATATGTTAAAAATGTGGATGTTCTTTGTTAAATTTTGATTGTGAACAAAATTTTTACTCACTCCTTTGAAATTTTCTTTTACCTCTTTTTGCTTCCATAAACAATTGTTTCGTTTTGTTCTTTGTTTGAATTCATTTTGCAATATGCTAACAATTTGCTATTATGTTCAAGACTTGTCTGAATGATTTTGAAATCAGGTTCTACATGTCAAATGCACTTGTTGTTTGCAGATGAAAATCATTCATTATAAGAATGTTTTTATATTTAGAACCATTGATACACAGTATTTATGTATTTTAAAAGTTTGAATAATCACACGTCAATTGATATTTAGTGTTGGAAGAATACCGATAACATTACCTAATGGTTATTACTCATAGTTATTTGACATTTCTTATGCAATAGATTTGGGTTTCACTTAGTAGATGAGTTAAATGGAATAATTTCATTCATATCTTTAATTCTGCCTTCGAAATTTAGTTATGAATTGTTCGGGTACCACATATATCACATGAAATTAGCTACAGGAAAAATTCAGGAAGATATGCTTTCAAGTGAGTTGAGGTGAAAGCAATATTTTTTCTAGTTATTCAAGTTCAAACTGACAACTGAAATTTGAAATTTATGATTTTACTGAACATAGGCATTGGTCTCATAGAATATAAAGCAAAACATTCATCTTTGATAACGTGTACTAAGGTTTTTCATAATCTGCTACAGTCTTATATGATGATGGCGGTATTGCAGTTAATGAATGGAATATGAAGACTTCCAGATCGTAATGCGGACATTGTAATATTTCAAATTTATTTAGTGCCAGAAAAATTAAGGCATATTTTATTCTTTGTGTTCAGCGATGACGGATTGGACTTGTGTTTCGTTTGATGGTTAGTTTTATTGTAGCTAAATTTTAATTAAAAGAAGTTTGATCAATAGCAGAATTAAAATTGGATAAGAAGTGTTCAAATTTCCTTATAAAAGAATCAATTACTTTTCAGAAGCGAAAAATGTATTACGTAAATGGCGTGAAGAGCATGCTCGTAGATCGGTGGAAACAGTGGAATTGTGGGAACATGTTTTAAGCCGTCATCCTCGTTCATTGGGTGATGAATTATGGCTTGTCTATGAACAGGTGAAACTAATTTTATCATTCATTTGATATTTAATTTAAAACATTAAGTTGAATTTCTGATATTACCATAATTGAGTCATGATTTATATGTTAAATTAAATTTTTTGAAATTATGATCAGGAATGGTCACTGTTACATCAAGTGTAAATATGAGAAAGTATGAAAAATTTGGCATAATGATAAGGTATCTTTTAATTTCAGGTTTGTATAGCTGCATTAGATCTAGTCAGGACTGATATTGTAATGGAATGTATACAAGCACTGCAAGAAAAGTTCCCACGAAGTAATCGTGTCTTGAAATTGCAAGCAATGCGTTTTGAAGCGTTAGAACGGTGGGGGTTTTTTTTTATTAAACAATGTTGCTAAAGGAATAGGTGATACAGTTTGTAACAAATCTTATTCCAAATTTCCTTGGTAAAATTAGTGAACAGAGATTTTTATGGTATAGTTTGAGATAATAAGACTTTTTTCACAGTTCTATAATAAGCTTTCTCAAGCATGAAAAAATTATTTTTCTATTGTGAAAAGTAAGTAGACAATGAGCAAGTGAGTTGCTTTTTAAAAAAATGGTCTCTCTATGTCAGATTTTAAAGTGTGTTTTCAGTTACGATTAATTTCTCTGTCATACAACTTCGGTAAATCCGTATTTTTAACTAGAAAATTTTTGACACTAGTCAAAATTCTTGTTCATTTTTTTTTCATTATTCATGAATTACCTGCTGCAATTGCTATAGGTATGATAGCGCTATGCATTTGTATGAGCAACTGATTGAATCAGATCCAACAAATATGGTAAGGATTTCCATTGTTTTTAAGGAGGAAAAAAACGAAACTCCATTTAAATTTTAACTATTAAATGTGAATGGATGGCTCGTTTTTTGATCCACCTCCGAGTAAAAATGTTAGGGAATAACAAAATTATTTATATGAAAGTTATCAAACGGCAATATGCTTATTTTCTTTCAATTGATTAACTAGCTCATAATTCATTTTGACAGTTTTAATTAGACTTTATATTTTTGTATAGTCATATCGCAAGCGAAGAATCGCAATTTTGAAAGCACAAGGCAATCGACAGGAAGCAATTCGAGAATTAAACGAATACTTAAAAACTTTTATTTCTGATACGGAAGCATGGCTGGAGCTTTCTGATTTGTATTTGCAAGAGGGTGATTATCCACATTCGGCACACTGCATGGAGGAACTTGTCTTATCCAGTGTTAGTTTATTTAGTTTCTTTAGTTGATTTAGAAAGTACCCGAATGTGAGAAACTTTTTTGGAAAAATTCTAACACTAATATTACTTTAGAATTTTGTTTACAATTTTCCTCAGATTTTTTAGAAACAGTTTGTTTATAAATTTTCTTTGTTGTTGTTTATTTATTTCTGTTTCAGCCACATAATAGCTTATATTTGCGACGTCTTGCGGAAATACGTTACACGCAAGGTGGTTCAGAAAATACTGAACTTGCGAAATCATATTTTGAACAAGCCGTTCGAACTAATCCATCATGTTCTCGTTCATTATATGGAATAATTTTGGTGAGTCTTGCTCAAATTTCCAGTATGCAGTGGATGTGGATAATGCATAATTTATAACATAATAAAATTGTTTATTCTCTTTCATAATGAATAAAATACGATGTTTCATTTTTAAAAAGTTTGCTGAATTTACGTCATTTTTAGGCAATTAATATTTTTAACCGTACTATTTGTCAAATTTGCTTACATTTTGCTTAGTGGTTTGAAATAAGTTTGAAAAAAAAACGAGGTTGAAAAAAAAATGACTGTGAAACATGTAATATTATTCCACTAAAATATTATCATTGTGAATTATTTCAGTGTTGCATAAATTTATCGCCAAAAAGCAGTGGTCAAAGGAAAAAGGAAATAATACAGAGTGGATTAATAGCTATTGAAAAATTGATAAGTGTTTATGAAGAAGCTTTAGGAACAGGAAAAAATCCAAATATTGCTATGGAATTGGAAACAATATTAAGATTAAAAACACAGTTACAAAGTTAATTATACCTTAATTTGTTCTTATCGATTATATTAGTAAATTTGAGTCTTTTATTTCATTCATTTCGCAGATTATGTGCTTCAGCGATACAGTATGATAGAAATATTTGTTACCTTGTACATGAAAGGAAGTTTCTTAGAATAGCGTTAGGTCTTCATTTTCTAAATAAACTTTCATTTGTTTGGTTAATAATATTGTTTATGCTGCAATTATCGTTGTTATATATCTTCATTATTTAAGGTTATATTCGGTTATTTGATATCTTTTGAACTGAGAGTTGAAAAGTGAGCTAAACTATTCAGTGATTTACTTCGATTCTTGATTCCGTTAGCATTTTTTTCATCGTCTGTTCCTCTTTCTCTTTGTTAACATCTTCGCAATTGAGAGATTTGAAAATTTTATAAAGTTTTGTAATTTAATAAACTGTTTCTATTGCTTATATTCCAGATCTTGTGCTGTTTCCTTTTTTTAGTCCTCATTTCAAACAGTAAGCTTGAGTAAAGTAAGTCTAGCTTAAATTTGTCTGATATGTATCACTGGTCGTCTCGTTTACTTTATGAAGCATAAATGGATTTTCCTATTTTTCAGAGCATTTTTTCAGATTTGTTTTCTGGATATCTTTTATTTATTGATGGTGATGAATACAACTTAGGTCATGTTTTACTATTGTTATTAAATTCTATATTTCAGTACCTCAAGACATTCAAATTTATCACTACTACTATCTGACGAAACTTCAACTTAGATTACTGATTTACATTTATATGAACTCTTAAATGTCAATGCAGCAACCTTAATATTATCAAAATTTGATCATATGTTTTATTGTCCGATGGATGAACAATGTTGTATATTCCGACTTAGCTTGAAGATTCTTGGAATAATATCTCATTGCTGTTGAACATTTGAAATAATGTCCTACGCTACAACGAACTTCCAGGTCAGGTTTATTTTATTAGATATTTGATATCTCCAATGATGACTATTATTTCGAAAAGAAGATATTCAGAATGAGATCGGTGTCTTCTGTTATTCGTCTTCATAAGCTATTTTTTACTGCTAAATTATCGAAAGATGCTAGCGGTGCATACTTGCTGATTACAAATGTAAAAGTAAATGCAGAAAATTGTGAAGTTATTTATTAATTATTTATTGTTTAGTATTACTAACAGTAATATAACCGCTACATCTTCAAATTTTTTTCATTTTATAATTCATGCAAAACACATATAATACTAATCACTGATAATCTAATAAAGAGTATAACTATCAGATGAAATCTTATGTATTTTCATTTTCAAATTACCCGATTTTAGGAGGGAGAGAGAGAGAGAAAGTGAGAAGAGAGGAAGGAGGATGGAGAGCGAAATGAGAAAGAGAAGATATGTATATAATTTTTCTGTCTAATTCTAAGACCAAATAAGACAAGAGCTGTTCCAATCTACCAGCAA